TCGGCCATATCTTCAACCGCCACCGTGATCTCGGCCCTTTCAACCCGCTTGGATTTGTGTGGCCTCGGTTTCCTCGCCCATCCGATCAACACTTTCCAACCGGAACCGTGCTCCTTGCCTTCTTCGATCACCTCGTCCACGCCCTCGAGCCACCGGCTCTGTTCTCTTCCCGACTCTGCCCGCACCTTGACCAACCACTCCTCCCACATGCGAGCCCCGAGGAGGCCAGTCAGGTCTGCGACATCCTGTGTACTGCCCACGGGGCCTTGTACGGCCTCTACGTCCATGTATTGCCTGACGATCTTGCTGATGGTCGACACTTCACTGATTGGCCGCGGCGCGGGGACAAACGGCTTGCCCCCTTGTCGCCATGACTGCCAGCCTCCACTGTATCCATAGGGTTGCTCTTCTGTCTCCTTGGGCGGCCTTCGCCCCATCGGCATGAACATCCAAGCTCGTTTGACGCCGATGAAGCCTTCTTTCTTCAGGCGTCGGAGCCAACTTCGAGCGGCTTCGCGTTCATACCCGCGCCGGTGCAATTCAAACCCGAATTCCACCGACATGGTCTCCGCCCGGGGCCCTGCGTGTGCAATGGTCGAATCCATGATCATGTAGTCGAGGTACCCACCTGGTTTCAGCACCCGCATACACTCCCGAAGTGTCAGATCCCACTCGTCAATCTCAGGCACCCCCGGTACCGGATTGTTCTTGAGAAGGACGTGCAGTGACCGCGCCGAGATGACATCGAAGTGTCCGCCGCGGAAAGGTAGCTGCCAGAGGTGCGGGACGGAGATGGTGCGGTGGTTTGCTGGGGCTTCAGGTTTCGCCATGGCCGGTGGCCGTTGAGACCGTGCCTGTTCCTTGGTGATGACAGTGTAGATTTTGACATTTGGCCACTCCAGAGCTGCGTTCCAGGCCCACGACGCCGAAGCGGTACCGCCAATGTCGAGAATGCGGAGTCGTTTGCTTCCCACGCACGCAGGATCATCTAAAGGAACAGTGGCTTTGGTTTTCAACCTTTGACAGGCAGCCGCAGATGCAAGCAAACGGCCGTGGAACATGGCTCTTAGGGCGTCAATCTGCCAATTCGACGGCTCGATCGACGCAACGGCAAGCTGTTCCCGTTCGGCCGTCTGATAGGCGATTTGTTCGACGGTACGCTCGAACACGCCCGTCTGTCGAGGATTTTGGCTGAACGGACCAGAATACTTTGGACGTGCTGGGTCGACCAATGTGTGCTGGCCGAGGAGGTTCTTGATGTGCCTTTCCGGAAGAGCAATCCGGAGAGCCTGGATCGCGTCAAGGCGGGATGTCGAGTGGATGAATGCATCCCGACGTTTACGGACAGCGACGAGATGCTGGAACGCCGCGAGAAAGATGGGTTCCTTTGTTTCGGCTTCGCTGTCGGGACTGCCCTTCTCTGGCCAGGTCTCCACCTCCACCACCACTGACGTGTCTATCGTGGCTTTCTCCGCGAACATTACGGTACGACGGACGCCCTGGACGGCCTTGATGTCCTTGCCATCGGGATGTTCGGCTTTGTCGGAGAGCTCCTCGTTAGGGTCAGAGTCCAGGATCGCGGACAAGTAGCCCGTTTGGGCGGCGAGCCAGGATCCCGTCCGGTCGAGATTCTGGCCGGCCGTCTTTTTCAGTTCGTCGTAGTACTTTTCGTCGTATTCATAGTTTACGGTCACCACTTCAGATGCCTTAGAGGGGCTTCCAGCACCGACAACAGTGGCAGGGCCGTAGAGATCGTCATCCTCGGACTGGGACTGCTGGCTCTTACGTTTCCCCACCACCGCCAGATCAAAGGTGGCCTGCTTCGCGGTCGGCGGGCCTTCGGTCATATTTGTGTCGTCGACCGTCAGAACCGTCTCGACGACGTTGTCCTTTGACCGACCCTCCCATGGCCGATTGTAAAACATCTCTGCGGTGGCGGTGCTGGGCACGCTCGGTGCCTTGGACTTGGAAATGCACCAGGTATGTCGCGAACCATTCTGCAGGGAGGAAAAGAAGCCGCCCGGTGAGGGGATACTCAGCTGCGAAAAGCTGTAGTCGGAGATGGGGGTCTCGCCGTCGGCGCTGCGTGGTCGACTGATGGGCTCCGGGTCAATGCGCTCGCGCATTTCCTGTCGTCGACCCCCCGACCTCTTGGACGGGCGAGAGCTGCCAGAACTGCTCGACCCGTCGTCCCTGCTTTTCTGGCTCGCGAGCATTTGGAGGAGCTGCAGAGCCTCGGGCGGCAGTCTCACGCCCACGTCGGAGCCATTGGACGGCGGCTTGTCCTCGAACTTCTTGAGCTCATCGATCGTGGGCATCAGAGGCGACAGGTCCTGTGGGGTGGCCCCCGGCACCGTCGGGAAACTGACAATCATCTCGGTGAATGCCGCCGGCGACGCGAGATTGCCGAAGGAATTGTTGTCCGAGTGCGCCTCCGCCGGTGACAGAATCACGCTGTGGCCATTATCAAGAGCAATCTCGAGAGGCTGGGACTCGAGACTGCTGGGCGGCGGACCTCCCCAGGTGTCCCCCTCCACGACCTCGAGTTGTCTCATGTCCGGCGTGACGGGAGCGCTGGTCTCGTTGTTGCACGGCGAATCCGAGATCGAACTGTTGCTGTCCCCGAGCGACGGCGGGGCATTAATCGCTGGGACATCTCTGGGAAGCGCCGACAGTGCCCTGGGCGACAGCCGGATTTTCGTGGCAGGAGACATGCCAAAAGTGATCTCCTTGATCGGACTCGCGTCCATCGAGCCCCAAGAGTCTCTGGGTATGATCAGAGCAGGGTAGCGGTTGCGGCTGGATTTGTCGCTGGCAAAGCTGTTGCGACTGGATCCCGAGGCAAAGCTGGTCGGGTCGCTGGCCAAGGACGGGCAGTCATCACTGAAGACCGTGCCTGAGTCGCTACCCACCAGAGAGCTTCGGGCCGAGTCTCGTCGACAGCCTGAGCCAGCGCTGCTGGAAGGAGAGGGTTCACAGGAAGAGATGGGCGAGGACGGAAAGGTCGATTTGGCGAGTGAGCTCTTGCGGGCACCGGTTGTAAAGAGAGCCGGATTCCATGCTGCAGGACGGCCGATGACTGTCGAATCACTTCCATCCCCCTCACTGTCGCTTTTCACCCCTTGGCTTGCGTCTTCCTTTTCCTCGAGAATGGTATTAAGCTGCCGACCACGGCCCAGCCGCGGTGGAGATTGGTAGGTGGTCGATGGTAAGAGGCTCATGCTTGTAAAGAACCAGCCTTTCACAAGTCTATTAACTATTGTCGGTCGATCGATCGGGGTCGTGGTATATTCGTGTCAAACGCCCATCGGCTTTGTCCGCGCCCGCTCAGCAAAAAAAAAAAGCGTGAGATCTTGGTTGTTTGGGTGTGGTCGAAGAAACTACTGTGTGTTATTAATAGCGGTAAAACGGGCGCCGGTCAACGGTCGCGCGTTGGATACATGGGCGTTCCAGGTTTTGTTGAAGAATTTGGCTAACGAGAGAAAGCTGACGGCGACCAGCGAACTTCAGCGGCGACGAGGTTTCGGAGGGGAAAATAAGGTGAGGAGGGGAAGGAGGGAAAGGAAGGTACAAAGGAAAAGAGAAGAGCTACTTGGTGGTGGTAAAGAGAGAACGGTGCAAGCGCCTGTGAGGACGGGCATTGGCGTCTCGCTCGAGACCCTGTGGGAGAATTGATGCGGATGTGTGGCAATGTCACGCACTCTTTTACAGATTGGGACATGGACATATCGACCCGGTGTCGATTGGTTCTGGCCGCCGTGGACGAGGCCGACAAGCCAGAAAGGGCATAGCCGGGGTGTTTGGGGAAGACGTGCAGGCCAATACCACGGCACGGAGAGGCTGCAGCCAGCGAGACGCGCAGGAAAATAGCATCAAAGGCGGAGATCGATAGTGCTGAGACGTGTTGGCAGGACGTTGGAGGTTGAAGGTGGACGACGACACATGGTTGGTAGAGGCAGCATTTCCTGCAGAATGAGGGGAACAAGCGTGATTGGCCACACGGAGCTGGAGTGGGCCTAGGCTGGGCGGTTACAGACGGCGCTATACCCAAAGGAGATCCCTTCTATTTATGGCACTTTTCTATTCATCGAGATGCCCCGTGGGAAGCCCATACTGCCCAAAGACGATTCTTGATGGTCCTGAAGAAACCGGGATCCTGGGATCTGGGTTGCCAAGTCAATGGTTCTCCAGGGAATCAATTTTGACTTCTTCCCAGTTTGGCCCCCATCCACCACGGGCCTGCTTCTGGGCCAACGGTCCTTCAAGCCTTATTCCGACAATCATAACACACCTCGTGTATGAGGCTGAGGTCGTAGTATGCCAGATTAATCCCCAAGCCATTCGGGAGGGAATGGCGAATGAGTTATATCATTGCTTGTACATGGTTACCCCTCGCCCAGCTCGATCCTTTCATCTCGCGGACAGCGCCACACAGACACAATACTGTGATTCCGGGCGTAACGCCGTGTTGTGAGATCCTGGAAAGTACAACCCGTCTGGGAACAGAAAACGTGGCCTGTGATCGGCCCATCACGGTGGCGAGACTTGCTGGGTATGTCGCCATCTTCCTTGCGTCCCCGTCAGGAGATCCTGGATAAGACCAGAGGTCTAGAAGGTTAATTTGGGATACCATTATTTGATCTGGTTTTGTAGCCTCTTTCCTTGAAAGCATCTGTCTCAGACTAACAGAGGGGATTCATATCCTCAAGCTCGGCCCGACTACAACATAGTCAAGGAGAAACTGACTGCACAGGGTCACTACGTTACCACCGAGAGACATAGTCACATTTGGCTAACGAAAGAGGAAGAGATGGTCACAGTGACCGAGGCTGGTGGCGAGAGCCTTCCAAGTATGTGTTCATAGAGTGTCCTAGAGTCTTGACTCTCGGCTGTTGAAGGGCGGGCTGTGCCTTCGGGGGCCCCCCCTGAAGTGGTCCAGGTGGGTACCCCCGTCCAATGAGTGACACTCCTTAATCAGCTTGACGACAATCCATCTTTCTCTATCCAAGTGCTTTCAATACGGCGGTACTGTTGGCTACAAATCCTGCAAAAACTGTCAGCTTCCATTCAACCCAACTTTCGAGGATGGGGGACCTACCATATCCATCAGCATTGTACCGGCACATCTGTTGGGCGAAAGGGGGGCTTGTTGTCTGAGAGAGATCGTCGACGTAGATCACATCATAGCCTATCCATGGTCAAATGCTTTGGCTCTGAACCAGAGGCACGAAGAGAGGTTTTCAATGTTTTCTTACCCTTGAAGAAGGCATCCACCAAGGTAGACCAGACGCACTGATCGGCATTGACGCCGCCGAAGAACAGCGTCGACACTTCGTTTTCTTGGAGCCAGAGGCCGAAGGGCGTCTGTGGTCCCCACAGCCCGGACAGACGGTTCTTGTTGAAGACCAAATCGGTGCCGGCTGCGACGCCTTCGTCCTTCATGGTTCCCAGCACGCCGTATGGCTCGGCGTTCCAAGATCCGCGCATCAGCAGGCGGCCAACCTCAATCGTCGTGCCGTTCTCCTTGATGGTGCCCATGTCGCTGCCGAAGGTGTCGTTGGCGAGATCTGAGCCGCCGCTGAAGGAAGACTTGAACGACGGGGGGATCGTCAGCAGGTCGTACTCGGTGAGTCCCCAGTTCACCCAGAGGATCTTCATGTCGTGCTTGCGGAACCCGTTGATCATGTTGACGGTTGGCTGGACGGCACCGCGGCCATTTTTTGCGCCGGGGGACAGATCAGGGTGAAGGAAGAAGTTTTGCATGTCGATGATGACCAGGCCGGTGCGGTTTGGCTCGATCTTGATGGAAGCCCGGTCGCCCATCATCGGCAACACCTTTGGCGACGTGACCGGAGAGCGGTCGCTGCGGGTCAGGTCAAAGGTTCCATTGGGCAACTTTTTCCAGTAGTTGTAGTAGCTCCCCAGGGTGGATGTGGCTTGTTCGAAGCCGTCGCCGACCAAGGCGTATGCCTGACGCTCCTCCAACGCAGCCGGGCTGGCCGCACTCAAAGAGCTAGCGACGAGAGCAGAGACAACCAAGTGCAAGGGAGAGATGATCATTTTTGCGATACCCATATTGAAAAAGACCTCGGCAAGGCTGGATAATGAAGTTACTCGGATACTTTCCAAACAACATGCCACGAAAAAGCAACCACTCCATCCTCGATGAGCTTTATACCTTTACAATTTCCATCATCTGGCTCAATCTCTACTGCGGCAGTTGAATGCCGAACGACGCAGCGGAGATGTGCATTTCTTTCAACGTTATTCACCCAGCATGAAGCCTTGGGACAAGACGAGAGAGAGATATGGCTATAGCCCAAATAGGAAGGCCGGGACACTTTGATAAGCAACCCGCCGGATTGTCGACAAAGCATACATAATACATTTATTTTATTACTCCGAGATCTCAAGGGGAACAACATATTTTTCCCCCGCACGAGTTCCAACCCCAACCACACAGGCACACTCATCCCTTATCTTTGGCCTAGCTAAGTCAGTCCTCGTATTGAAATTGTGCTCTGGGTAATTCGAGGCAGAACGAGGTTTGATGAGTCAAGAATCTTGGCCAGCTTTGCCTCTTCCCGAGAAACCCGAGACAGGAAAGAGAGAGTCGTTTGATAAAGCGCGGATCTCCATCTGGAGAAATGCTGAGTGTGAAAGGGTAAACGGCTGGTCGGGACATGGTCCGTCTACGCTGTTTTGGCGAAAATGACATTTTTCGGGTCCGTGGTGTGAGTTATGTGTGATGCCCGTGATGGTGCTCCGTAGGGATGTGACGGATATCCCGATCGACATATCAGAGCCCAGTCACTCGCGGGCCTATTCCGATCAGTTAAATGGCACCTTGGCACGTTTGAACATGGGAAAGAAGCCTTCCCCGATCTAGCTGAGCAGTGCTTGATGGCGACGAGGTGGTTGTGGTGGTGGTGGTGGTGGTGCCGTCACGAAGAGAAAAATGGTAGGAACAAACACCAGAGAGATATTGAATCTCAACCGCAAGTGGGAGGGCAAAAGGGTATCAGTCGAATTCCACGTTGTCTGTGAAGCCTTTTGGTCAGAATGGGTGGTGAGCGGCAGAATTCAATACCAGACAGACCCGTCTGCCTCACAACTGCTTCACCCTGCTTCACCCACTGTCTTTCACTACCGCAATGATGACGAGGAGCTATCAGTCACCAGCTTCTCGTCTCCTACATATTCCATCAGACACTTCTTCTCCCTACTAGACTGGGTCCCTCTTTCAACCAGAGCGATACCATCAAGTTGAACCGTACACGATGATTTTTCATACTATCCTTTCGGTCTTGCTCATTCTGCTTCTCCCTGCCGCGTCTGCTAAATGTTGTCGGGAGGATATAGGAGGTGACTGTGGTGATAATTCGCTGGGAACCCCCTGCTGCGGATACAAACCGTGCAACGCCTTTTGTTGTTCTTGTAAAGGAGGTAAGCAAGTTCTCGCAACCTTGGTGCGACCTTTACCCTGGGCCAGTCTATACTACTTGACTATCTGACACAACGCGATGTATACATGCACTGACACGTTTCCTTCAGTTTCGGTCATCCGGGAGATCATCGACCAAGGCGACATAGAATGGACATCTATCATCACTGCTCCCTACGACTGGGCGCACTCGACTTTTGAACAGTGGACCTGCCGTGCCAGCCACATCACAACGTGGTATCCACCTCCAACGAAACGCGCCCTTCCTGAAGACTCGGCTACAACAATATTCAGCTCCGGCAAGCCTCTGGCCACAGTCACAAAGAAGCCTCAGCCGACCTTGACGCCTGCGTTCCGACACGCTACGCGCGACCAGGAAGCACTCGCCGAGTTGGAGGAGACATTCGACTCTGTGAGCAAGGGTAAAAAGAATAATGGCACAAGCATCATCACCCTGGACCAGTACTTGGGCTTCTTCAACGTTGCGGATAGTGGAACAGAGACTGATTTTGGCAAACATGTCGAAGCCAAGTTTCGAGCTCATGACAGGGACGGTGATGGTTTACTGACGATGGAGGAGGCGCAGCTACTCTGTGATTCTGATGGATGCTATTGAATTCAAGCCCAGAGCACGGTCTCTCTGAGCAGCGCCTACCGAGTCTCGTCCTTTCATTACTCAGGCATTTGTTGTTGGTTGGGAGACAAACAGAGGAGAGCAAGGCTGCGCAGGAAAGATGATTGACTATTGGTCAGCCTCGCAGAGAGATCGGAATATTAGTTGATCCGTCGGGCACCAATGCCAAGCACAAGCACGTGCATCGTTACCCCAAGCTTGATCTTCAGCTTCTTTGGAGCCGGTCACCAGAGCGAGACGAGCAATGACAAAGTCAGCCTCGAAGCAGCTACCCGGAACATTTTCTCTGTTTGGAATGAAGTCATGCCAGGTGTATATGTTTCTTCCCGTAGTTTCCTTTTGATCATCTTCAGTGACATTTTCCCTTCCTCGTCTCTGTCAATTCTACTAGCTTTTCTCCTTAATGCCTTGGCTCTCTTAGCTAACTTTCAGTCCTCCATCTTACCATTTTCCTCTGCTCTTTGTAGACGTCCTCGTCAATTCGTCATGGATCTAGATTCAGATGATACGTGGTCGGACACCTCTGAGGAGGACGAATCCCAGCCTAACCCGCCATTTGTGTCTCGCGCCTATCAAATTGAGATGTTCAACCACAGTATGAGAGGAAACATTATTGCTGTTGTAAGGCTCTTCATTCCATCCCAGCGCTGATACTCTATTGAAGATCTACTGACAATGGTACAGATGGGCACTGGGAGTGGGAAAACACAAATGTGGGAGCTGACCTTCTTCCATCACGGTATCAGACACATGAACACTTGGCTATGCGGATACTGATCTTTGGGGTCTGCCATTAGTGCCAAGCTGAGAATAGAAGCGGAGCTGGAACGTTCCCCAGGCAAGGTCTGCGTATTTCACATGTCCTATAACCTCTCCTTACTCACCGGTCCCCTCCAGTTGATATGGTTTACCGCGCCGAGCGTGGTCCTAGCGTATCAGCAGTACCGTTTCCTTTCCCAACAGCTGCCGGCCTTCCAGTTCAGACTCATCACCGGCGCGGACACCCCCGAAAAGTGGACGTCCAAGCAGGTTTGGGACCAGGTCCTCCATAACATCCAGGTCGTTGTTTCTACCCCCGCCGTCCTCTTCAACGCCCTCAATCAAGGATTCGTGTCATCACTGGCCGCCATTTCATTGCTTGTTTTCGACGAAGCCCACCACGGGATCAAGAACTCCCAGCAGAACGAAATCATGAGAGTTCATTACCACCCCCACAATAAGCCCGGGTCAGGGGTCGAACTGCCTCATATACTTGGCCTGTCTGCAAGTCCAATCACGGGGAGCAGAATGCAAGAGAAAGATGTGTTGGAGAGGAATCTCAATGCCGTTTGCAGGAGTCCGTTGCAGCAGCTGGATGAATACACAGCTTTCCTGACCATGCCAGAACTGATAAGATTGACATATGGTACCGCTGAGCAACGTCCTTCTGAATACTATCTGGCGTTACGAAGCGTTGTCTCTGCCATCCGTTTAGATGATGACCCGATTGTCAAGACTCTCCGCAACAGAAGCGATGATCTCGAAGCGCAGACCCAGCTCGAGAAGATCTTCAGAAGGAATGGTACGCCGGCCATTAAAGAACTACAGAAATTTCAACGGTCGAGCACAGGCATACAGGAGACTCTGGGAAACTGGGCTTGTGACATGTTCATCAAGAATTGCACTGGGAAGGTGGAGATGAAAGAGTTGCACACGATTGACCGTCCGATCTCCGATTCATCTCCTTCTCAGAACTACCGGTTCATCAAATCCTGCCTTCGGCCTCTTCATGAGCAGATACTGTCGGGGAGCTTGACCATGTCTACGGAAGACAGCATTTCACCAAAGGTCCGGGTTCTCCTCGACTTCCTCCAAAAGAAGCATCGCGCAGATCTTAGATGTCTTGTATTTGTGAAAGAAAGGCATGCAGCTTGGTGTCTCACTGAGATTCTCAACAATCACCCGCTCACCAAAGGCTCCTATGAAGCATTTTCCTTTGTCGGACTGAGTGATCCATCGTATAAGGGAGCATTTGATTTCACAAACCTAAACCGTCAACTTGACAACCTCGAGAGATTCCGAAGAGGCCAGCTCAATATCTGTGTGGCAACTGCGGTGCTTGAAGAAGGTGTCGATGTGCCCGCGATGAACCTTGTGATATGTTTCGATGAACGACCGACCTTTCGAAGTTTCGTCCAAAGCCGTGGCAGAGCCCGGCAGAGCAATTCAAGATTCGTCATCCTCCAAGACAACGCTGTCAAGGTGCAAAAATGGCAGGCCCTAGAGAAAGAAATGGAGCAGGAATGTCAGAATACTCTTCGGGAGTTTGAAGAGCGGCAGCGTATCGAGAGCATGGATGAATCCGAGTCGGAAATTTTCAGGGTTGCGTCTACAGGGTAAGTTATAAGCCGGCGTTTTATCCCCTTCCCTTGGGAATTAGCACCCTGTTTTGAGGCCAGTCTACTCACGAACATAGTGCCACATTGACATATAGCGGAGCGAGACAACTCCTGAGTCGATTTTGCGCCAAGCTACCCCGGACCGACGAGTGCGAGCAATCAAGTCCGATATTCTACCTTGAGGGCGAACCTGGCGTCGAGTTAGTGGCGAAAGTAGTCTTGCCGGATACTCTTCCTCCGAGCTTGCGCCAGGCAGAGTCAAAGTTTACCTGGCGAACAGAAAGAAGGGCCAAGCAAGACGCGGCCTTCCAGGCTTATCTGGCGCTCTACCACGCCGGAGTTGTGACAGAGTATCTGTTGCCTCCAGAATGGCCCAAGAAAGAAGACCCCGACGGTTCAATCGAAAAACGAGACCGCGAGTACGACGTACAGAACCAACACGACCCCTGGCCAACACTTATGAAACAATGGGCGACCACAGGCCGAGTTTACACCCACCGTTTACAGGTTGAGGCTGTGGATTGTGACTATCCTGCCATGCTTCTACTCCTCCCCCAACAACTCCCCAGTCTCTCTTTTCCCCTTTTTACGGCGCCATCCAGCAGGATACAAGTGAGTGTGAGTGCCGGACAGGAGGCACACGATTTCCCCACAGACCTGGGCCGGGACATAAGTTATCTTTTCCTGGACACCATCCTTGGAAGAAGACTATGTGGTCTCGACAAGCAACAACTGCCGTTCCTTCTCGTTCCCGACCTGGACTTACCATCGATTCGAGAGTGGTATCGGACGGCGTCTCGCACCATAGCACTGACAGACTTTCTCGAGACGCGTTCTGACTTCCATAAACAATATCTTGTGCAGCGTAAGCGTGATGTTCCTTGCATTTGGCAGCCCGTCACACGACGGGACCGCGGCGGCCGATATGAACCGCAGCTCGAGACAGTGGACGGCATTACCACAATCGTCGGAACCAAGCTTCCCCGGAAGCTGGACTATCTGATACCCACACGAGATGATTCAGTAACATGCTCTGCTACGCGCAAACTCTTACCAGTAGATGAATGTTCTATTTTGGGATTATCCGTGGAATACGGTCGGCTCATACTGTTCATACCATCGATCACGCACATGCTCGAGGTTGCTCTGCGGACGGTGGAAGCCTGTAAAGGACCGTTAGTTAGCCTTGGCTTTGACAGCATTGATCTCGTGTCTGAAGCAATCACGACCCCAGCCGCGGGGAGTCGAAACTATCAGCGCCTCGAGTTCCTCGGTGACGCCTTACTCAAGTTCTACTCCTCACTCCAAGTTTTTGTCGATAATCCAAACCACCCAGAGAGCTACCTTACTCTAGACCGGACCAAGATCATCAATAATGCACGGCTGCAAAGAACAACCCGCGCCCTGGGACTGGATCAATACATCACTCGGAAGCCATTCGCCGGCAAGCAGTGGTCCATTGGCGTCAGCGATCCGCAAGTACAGGCCCAAAAGCTGCCCGAGAGTCGGGTGTCGTCCAAAACATTGGCAGACGTGGTCGAAGCGGTAATCGGAGCTGCGAGTCTTTCCGGCGTTGGGCCAGGAGACAAGGATGCAAAGGTCCTTTCGGCACTCAGGCTGTTCGTTGAAGAGATCTCATGGAAGCCCTTGTTGGGGAACATTGCCCAATTCGAGCTTCCCAAAACATCTTTGAGCCATAAAGCCGGGGCGTTGCAGTCGGTCGAGTCCTTGATCGGCTACTCGTTCGGGTGTCATGCTCTCCTGGCACAGGCCCTGACTCAGTCTAGTCTTGGAGGCGATGCTCTCTCGTCGTACGACCGACTTGAGTTCCTAGGTGACGCTATCCTCGACCAGATTGTGAACGCGAAGCTTTTTCACAGTTCTCTCCAACTTGACCCTAGGGAGATGACTCTGCGACACCACGCCCTCGTCAACCATGCAACGTTGGCGTTCTTCGCTCTCCAAACTTCAACTGCCCGCCGCACATTTGATGTGCAGATGGATGTTGGCACAGAACAGTCTGTGAGTGTGGAGAAGACTGAGACGGTGTACCTGCCCGACCACATTCGACGGACTGGCACTCCTGCAGCGCCATTGCAGCGACGAGCCACGTTGGCTGCCTACGAGGACGTTCGCTCTTCGATTCTTGAGAGCTTTGCCAAGGGCAAGACGTTCCCCTGGAGCGAGCTCCTCCACGTCGGGGCCCCGAAACGCTACTCGGACATTGTCGAGTCAATCCTCGCCGCCGTGTTCCTCGATTCTCAGGGCGACCTGACGGCCTGTGAAGCGGTGCTCGAGAAGATGGGGTACATGGCGCTGGTGCGCCGCCTCGCCACGGATAAGGACATCGATGTGTATCATCCCGAGGAGCTCTTCTCCCAACTTGCAGGCAAGTATGATCTTGTGGCGCAGCAGAGGACGATCAAGATCCAGACCAACGAAGACTCGGGGAGGAGAAGTTGGCGGTGTAAAGTCATGTGTGAGGGGGAGAGAATCGCCTTCTTCAAAGGCGCGACCTCTAAAGAGGAAGCGCAGTGTCGGGCGGTGGAGAAGGCGTTGGAAGTGGCACGCCGCAAGGGGTGGAAGGAGCCTGTCAAGCCGCAGTCCGACCGGGACGGCGAGAACCACGCAGCTGGACACCACGACGCCGAGGACGATTGAGGGGATGAGCATGTTTGAGAGCTCAATGGAGAACGAGTCTCAGTAACTGCAAACTGGCAGCTTGGCCATGCATGTCCCTCGTACCTAGCCAGGTAAGTGCAGCACAAGCGAGAGAAGGAGCATGACGTTCATCCAGCCGTCCAATCACCTTTGTATGAACATGATATCAAACTGCTAGGTTCAATGGAATACACTACCAAGCACGCGTGTGTTCATGTGTGCATGAATGTGCGTAATCACCCCTGAATGGTACCTATGTAGGTTACGTCTTATTTGATGACGATGATGTCGAGGTCGATGTCGGTGTCGAGGCTGACCTTGAGCTTGAGCTTGAGCTTGAGGTTATACGATGATGGGTTGTACGAAACAAGGTAGTTATACATGTACTCGATTCTTTCCGTGATTTCATCATTCCAAAGGGAAACAAGTAAAATCCTGGTCTGAGCTGGTCCCCGTCTGGACATGGACCCTGGTAAGTCCATGACTAGACCACCGAGTTGACGTCCTCTGTACATCGTACAGATAGATATCTGTATCTTCCACCACCTTGGATTTCCACAACCCCTTTTTCTTTTCCTTTCTTTTCTTTCCTTTCGTCTCTTTGACCCATCAGAATCCCCAGCTTGAAACGGGATCGAACCACAGCAATGACCCAAACGACGGACCGCCAAAGCACCAGTAAACGCACCACCCAGTAAAACGCCACTCCTTGTGCGCCGAGCTTGACCGAACCCAATCTCAGAAACTCCGTTTTTGGTCTGAATAGCGTCATCATACACATCCGTACCCACATACAAGCAAGAATGGGGCATTCTCTCGAAGAGGGACGGGAGAGGGGGAGGGGGGAGAGAGTATTCCGAGTTCCGAGTATACACCTGCCTACCTGCCTACCTGCCTGCCACGGCAAGGTGTAATAAGCCTGCTCGCACCGTAGCGGTTTGCACGTCGGTATGTAGGTAGGTATGGACATATCGAGATAGATGGAAAGCGTCGGAGGTAAGTTTTGTGATCAATGACCTTTGAACCGGCCCGGTGTATCTCTTGCCGTCACCCTTCTCCTTCGATCTCGCCCTCATTCGCAGAATTGCCCCTTTTAAAATCTCCATTTCCATTTCCATTTTCATTTCCACGTCCGCCCGCCTCAAAAGTCCATCCCGACGAGGTACCCCTCAAAAACGCGCATAAACTTTGCGACAAAGGCCTCGAGGTGGAAGATGGGCTTGCTGCCCAGGCGGACGCGGTGCTCGTAAAAGGCGGCCCACTTGACAACCTCGGCCTTGAGGTCGTCGGCGACTTCGGGCTGGGCGACGAGTTTCCAGGTCAGGGTCTTGAGGATGAGGGTGGCGGGGATGCAGTGGGTGAGGAGGTCGTAGAGCTTGGCGCGCGTGGCGAGGATCATCTGCGGCGTGCGCTCGCGGACGACGTCGCGCGCGACCTGCTCGATCAGCAGCTCCCAGTCGGGGGGTGGGATGGCCGTCTTGTCGCTCGGCTCCGGGTGTTGGGCGTAGACGGCCTCGAACATGAGCAGCGCCTTGCGCAGGTTGCGGCCCGACTCGCGCGCGATCCGCTCGTTGAGCGCCGGCACCACCTTCCAGTTCTCCTTCTTGCCGGCCTTGATCAGGGCTTCGCAGATTTCCGCCTCCGTCGGCGCCGCCACCCGTACGAGCAGCGTCCGACTGCGGATCGGCGCGATGATGCCCGCCGTGCTGTTGGCCACCAGGATCAGCCGCACGTTGGCGCTGTACTTCTCCATGGTCCGCCTCAGCGCCGCCTGCGCGTCGCGACTCAGCCCGTCCGCCTCGTTGATCACCACCACCTTGAACCGCTGTTTCGCCCCGAGGTCGATCTGCTGCGTCTGCGCCACCTCCTTGAGCAAATCCTGAATCACCACGCGATCGTACGTTCCCACATCACTCGGCGTGATTTCGAGGTGGTACACCGAGGACACGATGTTGAACTCGAGCTTGCGGTTTGAGCTGGTCGTGAACATGCGGGCGTCGATCTTGATCTTTTCCGCCCCGCTACCGTACAGCGCCCGCAGCGTCGCGAGGACCCGTGTCTTTTTGCCCGCGCCCGACGGGCCGTAGAAGAGGAGATGGGGGAAATCGGCAGAAGAGGCCTGTCGCGTAGAGTCAGCACTCGCATTTCTCCTAAGCACCAGCTAGTGTTTTCATCGCTGCGCGGGGGGCCAGTAATACCAAGGCAGCTAATCGCTCCGAGAGGTCTTTGTGGTATGTGAGCGCATCGAGGGATCGAGGACGGAGTTTATCCACCAGAAGCGCCATGGCTGCTGCTGCTGGATGATTGATGTAGTGTAGACAGCTGAATGAACGTGGTGGCCTAGATTCGTAGCGGTGATGGTGATGGTGTTGGTTGCTGAATGTGATTTCTCAAAATTATGCGAGACGCGTCTCGGCGTCTAAGAACGCGTAAAGTGGTTTATCGATATGACGTCGCTGACTCCTGCCAAGGACAAGATCAAAACTACATTCGAGGTGAGACAAATAGTTTTTATCAACGGCCATGACCGCCACGATATATTTGCAGTTGACTCTCGGTTACGACGTAGACAAAATGGAACTGTTTCCATTGGTCTGAAATGGATGTCGCTAGCTCTGTTGAGTTCCTTTGGGTCTATCTTGGAATACCTTGGTAGACACGGGAGCAGCAGGATGATAGAGATATTGCTGGTGGTAATGTGTCTGGCTGGACATGCACAGACGACCTCTCTCCTAATTTCACTAGAGAATAGCAAGAGCCCGTCCCGTTTCGGACGGCCGGGTCTCGCAGATACTCCTACACGGTGTGTTCACGCCGATACCTCTGTCTGACTCTCGGAGGAACGACTCTTCTCCGTCGACTGACACTCAAATTGAGCTCTTGAATGACTCGCTCGTTATGTGGTTGCATGCCTGGTGCCTCTGAATCCCCAATCGATGCCTTGACGGCCTCGCCGAGCTCCTCAGCTTCTGATATCGTCCCGAGTATCTGTGGAGACCTCCGTATCCGCCTCATTAGCGGTCGCATATAGTTCACTGTTATGTCCTTCATTTCGTTCATCCAGACGGCGTAGTGGTGAAGCAGTGTCATGAGAACGTCGTAGAGGCCATTGACGGCCACCTGCACGTCAATATCGACGCGTTCGATCCCCAACAACTGCAGAAACGGGTGATAGACGTAGGAATCAAAGACATGAGTCAGGTCTTCCAGCATTGTCTGCTCTGTCCGGCAGGGTAATGCGGTATACCTGCACCGTCATCAGCATCTCCTGCTCCGGATTCGTAAGGATACGCACCATGTCAGGAGTACCGAGCGCTGTCGATATATACACCAAAGATCTCCCTCCGACAGGTCAGCTGTGAATGGAGCCCGCGTCTTAACAAAGTCGACGTTGTTGATGTGTTCGGTGACATTGACAACTGACTGCCGAAGCTGCGCCGACATGAATCGGGACAGGGCGAGTATCTTCTGCTTGTTACAAGCGACATGAACCCCAGCAGGATCACCATCGGTAGGCACCAATAACCAACCGAGCCCAGCTGTTGCTCGTGCAAGACTCTCAAATGCTTCCTTGCATGTCAATGGGAGATCAGCACTGGCAACGTGTTCGAGGAACAGATCCAGTGTCGGAGACTCCAGTATTTCGGCGGAGCGAAGACTGGGCCGCAGCGGAGTGGTGTGGGCGGTTGAAGTCGAATCGTGTGAGATAGGAGTGTCATCATGGTCTGTAGCGTTTGAACCTGGTGATGAGAAATGCTCACTGATCTCAGAACTCGAGACGATGTCCCCTGTCGTGTCAAAGTTGATGTCCGGATACCGGTCGAACAGTGCGGAGAGGTCAGTATCTGTAGCTTCAGCAGAATCGGCCATGGTTGAGCGAGGATCTTTATCGATCAGGACATGAATGTATGAAGTCTAGATGAGGCGGTCTCAGACTCGGAATCGAGGAAAACGAGACGCAGTCTTCAAGGGAAGCAACGATCAGGTCGATAAGGGACGAAAGCAAGTGCAAGTCACATCGAGATAGAAACAGCAGAAGCAGCAAGGCAAGAACAAGTAGAAAATGGAGTTGTCATTGTCGTTCTTGGTGTCTCATCATATTCACTGACTGCCTCACCATCGAAGGCATCACAGGCATGATTTTCATAATACTGGTTTCACATGTCATGGATTTACCAACTGTTCCCATCGCAGGCCATGGACTGGACCAGCTGCTTCTGGGGGAAGTTGTTGGCCTGGCAAACCGCCTGATGAGATGCGAAGACATGACGCCGACACATTTCGGAGGCGGAATGCTGTTGCTCTTCGCGCACTGACTGATTGGCACCTCACTGAAACAGATGTGACAACTCAAAGTTGGGCGATGGTGAGATAGAGATAAACATTCAACAGATATATTACACTGGCAGGGTCGTCGGACGGATAGCCCTCGCAATGGGAAGCATCACAAGCAGCGCAGTCTGCACCCATAGGGGCCCCCGAAGCAGATGGCTAGAGTCCTCGGAACGACCAGCCTTGCCTCTGAGCATCATCCAAGGCCGAACTGTAGGCGCTGGATCCCCAAGTCCCCGGCATGACACCTGGTGCGATGCGAGGCGCGTCCACATGCTTTGGTTCAGCTGCTTCCTCGAGCTGATTTGCTGGGGAACTGTCATCTTGTTGCGGACTTGCCTCCGAACTGGCAGTGTCCGGAGAGCTGTTCTCAAACTTGAACCCTGGCGGAGGTTTGATATCGTCGTCATCGCCCGGGAGCTGCGTGTCAACGATGTTGTTCCCTATGCGTTGGAGTGATTTGCCAATGATCGTTTGCACCCACTGGTAGAAAAAATACGATGCCGACAGGATTCCCATCACCACCACAATCCAGCTGACGTTGACTGCGCGGTCCCGACCAGTAGCAGATCTCCCAGATACCCTGCCGGTGACAAAGCCAGTGTTTCTAAGATTCCACCATTGAAAAGGGTTGAGGATCATGGTTCTCAAGAAGCTAAGCACGCCCATCGAGACCAGCCCTTTTATAAAATGCTGGGCCCAGCCTGACAGGCTTCCTTTCGAGTCATTGACATCAACTGCCTGCCAGACATCCTCGTGGCCCACGATCGTCTCGTAGGGGTCGGTGTAGAGGTTGAGGATGGGATCTGCAATAAACCCGAGAAGAAACACAAACAGTAGCATGACCAATGCCGTCAGAGCCCCCGAAGCTGTCTTGCTGCCGAGGTACTTCTGGACGGTGAGTCTGTTGAAGTTGAACTGATAGCCACATTCGTGGCATTTCCAGAGCGAGCCGGGCCGCACACCCTCTGTCCGGGACCGCCTTAGACACAGCTCGTGTATGTACCGCATGCCTCCTCTGCAATGACACGGCTTGATAAGCCGGCCGTATTCATCTTCATTTTTGTATTCGACGACGGGACGTTGAAAGGCCCGGGGGACACCGGGAGGGTAGAGAGTCACTGTGGCGGGCACTTCTTCGAGGCAGAGTCGACAGGTTCGTGTGGGATATGTCCACGACTGCGCCGGTGTCGGTGCGGGTGTATCTCCGTTCGAAGGAGCATGTTTCTGGGAATCTTCTGTGGAAGTCATGTTGTAAGTAGACGTAGAGAGCGGTTATCCTGATCGCCAGCCAATGCCCCCGTGAGAGAAACACGTTTAGACCCAGCGACTTGGCAGCACCATGATCTGGTATCAGACGACAGACAGTTCAGCCAAGGTGCACCTCGTACGCAGAAAATACAAAGCGAAAAACTTCGAGGAGACAGAGAGAAGACGAGAGTTATCGATGGACTTCAAAGCCCTAGGAGCATCTCATAGTGCAGTGCCGGCTTTGACGAGCTCAGACGAGCTCAGCACTGCCTGTGCATGGAAGGAACGTATCAAAACAGCATGTAATAGCCATGAGTGAAAATGAAAATCGGGGTTGTGGCCAGGTGCGTTGTGCGGTTTTGTGCTCGGTATTATTATTGCTCCGCACCAATTTCAAATGACGAGGAATTCGTCCGACTTTCTACGTCATGACAAATCAGCTTCTCATCTATTCTATGTACCTACCTCCTACTCGTAGGTAGACAAAATAGATTGCTCGACAAAATGTTCCGCAAAGTATATAGCGGTCTACGTTGACAACTCTCACATACAGAGGGCCACCGTCGTCAGCTGTCCAGCTCGCTCACCCTGACAAACATGCCCTTCTGCACGAACAATCCGTAGTTCGTGTTCTTCTTGATTGGATGTACAGAATCAACCAAACTCCAGTCAAACCTCCGGATCATCTCGAAGAAGATCTTGTTCAGTTCCAATCTCGCAATATTCTCACCCATGCAGCGGAACCTGCCGTTGCCGAAGACGAGATGGTGCGCCTCTTCCATGATGGCCAAACGCTCAGGAGACGCCTCGAGCCAGCGTTCGGGCCGGAAGATCTCAGCGTCTGCACCGTATACCTCTGTGTTATGGCGGTGCATATTCCAGGCGCAAAAGGCGACCTCGGTGCCAGGAGGGAGGTAGACGCCATTGTGTGTGTCACCTTGTGCACCGACGACTCGAGGGAGTAAGCCTGCCGCAGCCGGATGATGTCGCAGAGCTTCCCTAATGCAAGCTTGCAGATACGGCAATCTCAGTGCTTGAGAGTATGAGATGACCTTATCCAAGCCAATGTCTGTGGCCAGTGCCTCCGCTTGGAGCTTGCGGTATACATGTGGATTTGATAAGATTGAGAGGAAGCCAGTGCGAACGATGGTCGCCGTCGTGTCGGAGCCCGCCAGCAACTGGAACAACGACTCGTCCGAGATCTCCAGTTCTGACAAACCATGGGTTTTGAACGAAGTCACCATGTCATAGCGGCCCGCCTTCTCCCCAGAGAAACGGCCAGCAATGATTTGCCGAGCGACCCTGCAATTGTGTTAGTCTTAGCTGGGTTGTGAATTACTTTGCCCGCATGACCCACGCTTTGACCTTCCCAAGCCCGGTCTTCTCCTTCGGTGAAGGCACAAGGTTCGCTTGCACCGTTGGGATCCTCGCGATGGCTGACAGCAGCGGCACTGCGGAAAAGACATTCATGATGGGGAAATTGTCCTCCATGGACCTCACATATGTGTATTTGTCCGTGTCGTCCGAAACGAACCCGAATGCTTCACCAAGGGACAGATATGTGATCACGTCCAGGGTGAAGTATTGTGCCAATTGGGCCCAGTCGAGCGGCTTGATGTTGGATCCCACCGACAGATATTTCCGTTTGACCAGGTGCACGACGTCCATGACTACCTGATCAATACTGGGCTCGCATTCAGGGTTATCCTTGCCTGAATACTGTCACCGAGCTTAGTGTCTTGAACCAATGCCGAGTGATACTCGTGCTTACCCCCGGAGACAGCTTTGCACGCATGAGGGAGTGCTTCTCGTCATTGAGCTCGGTGAAAAGGTTCTCCCGCTCAGCGTCCATCTTGAATGCCCTGTACCACGGGCCCCGCGAGTAGTCGTTGATCCTGTGCGCATTTGCTTTGCGATACAGTTCGAGATCCGACGTCACCACCATGGACGGGCTAATCCGAGCAATGGATCCTGGACCGGCTCGTTAGAACCTGCCTTGTCCACCCTGTCGTTCCCGAGGGATTGGAAACCTGTCTCATACCGTAACGATCGCATGCTTTTTTCAAGGCAAGATGGCCTTGCCCCCAGACTGCGGCTTTGGTCCACCACCAATTCGTGAAGCCAGCCAACGGTGGCCCAGGGACATGTCGTAGTTTGCTGTATGCTATGAGGGTTGAGACGACGGCCCACGCCAACCAGGTAACAGCGGAAAGGGCCAGGATCTTGGTAAAGGTGACCTGCAGCGTACCAGTGACTTGCTCCAGCATTCTGGGGGATAAACACCTAGACTGCGACGAAGCTTTGACAGCTTAAGTGGCTGTGTACAAGTACGGCCGTCGTGATGTGTAAAGTTTGAGGTGCAAATGGATAGAAGTTTGTTGATCCTTTATAGAGAGGGGAACTCTTGTGCCTTTACCGATTAGATGGAACGAATGCATGTGCCCCCTCGCAAGTCGTCCAGATACTAGCCAGTTGTTGGTGGAAGTTCAGGCGATGTCGGGGATCTGCTCGGTCCATGGCTGCTTTGTTGGCTCGGTTCGTCCAAGTACCTAACAATCGTCCAGGCACCTTCGGTTAATTGCCGTTCCAGTTTTGTCACTGGTGTATCCCTCGTTCAAGGCAAACCCTACATGTTGGAGGGAAAGCGAACATCATTGTTGGTGATAACAAGATGCGGTCTGGATCAGATCCACCGACCCAGCAATATGCTTTGCTTGTCCATTCCCTCCCATATTGTCGGCCACTCTGTCTAGACTGCTCTGGGAGAGGGCCTTGAGTGTGGCCCCAGCCCTACACCGTATCGTACCGCGGCCCTCGAATCGGTGGAAGAGGGGTTTGTTGTTGAATGACGAGAGTTGCGACGCCACCATGTACCCGGATCTGCTCCCTTTCGTCCCTTTGTCCTCAGGAGTCTCAGCAGAAAGATGGACATGGCTTCTTTGACAAACTCAAATGCCGGCGCCAGTCGACTAGGTCAAGAGAGCGACGAGTTGGAAATAGACCCTGGGGTTTGTCCAACGTCTCATCAGTAGCTCAAACTAATGATAAGAGCAGTACGACACCGAGGACTCTGGCCTCGAGCAGGACTCAATCTTGACTCAGTCAGTTCGGTCGAGTATATATCAATACAAGGTCGGGAACGGCCGGACATACCATACATATAAAGAAGGCCAATATTTCATGCCCAACGACTCTGCCGAGCACGAACGCATGGAATTACAACACCGGGCAATGTTTCTTGCTGCTGGCTCCCAGCTCTTCTATGCGCCTGTCAAGAACCTCCACCATATCTTGGACCTGGGCACCGGCGTCGGAACGTGGGCCATCGACGTCGCCGACGCGCACCCAGAGACTATCGTGACAGGTGTTGACCTGAGCCCTATCCAACCCACGGTCGCTCCACCCAATGTCAAGTGGGAGATGGACAATGTCGAGGATAAGTGGACGTGGCCTCAAACCATTTCGATCTCATATACGGCCCATTCATACTCAGTTGAAGTATCGCGGATTTACCAAAGGTCTTCCGGCAGGCTTTCATGTAACATCCTACTCAGTATAAGTGTGGCCAATTCCCGAGCACGCCTCGAATCTAACGCATGATCTGCTCGTGTAGACATTGTAGGCCAAGGGGTTACCTTGAGATCCATGATCTAACCACAGACCCACAGACCTCCGGAGCGACCACGTTCCCATCAGACCAGACAACCCTGTTGACGAGTGGTGTCGTCTGCTGCGACAAGGCATCACTGGCATGGGAAGACACCTTGACCTGGACTTTGAGAAACTAGGAGAATTGATGAGAGAGGTTGGATTCGTTGACGTGGTAGTCAAGCCATTCAAGATCCCAATCGGTCGGTGGCTGTCCGATCCACGTTTGAAGGAGGCGGGGGTGTATCAACTATACGCAATGTTGGACGGTATCCAAGCATTGACTCTTGCCATATTTACGCGCTGCTTGGGCTGGGAGCCGGAACAGGTCCAGGTATTCCTTGCTGATGTGCGCAAAGAATTCACGGCGACGAAGCGATATACCTATTGGCCATGGTATGTGAAGGATCAAATTCCAATCCATGAGACTGACCTAGATTGCCACAGTGCCGTCATATATGGCAAAAAGCCTGTAGCCGTGTCCTCGATAGGCTCTGCGCTATGAGCGACCCGAGGGCCCCTGTTGTAGGATACAACGGGCCGACATCTGGTCTCACCACAGTGAGTATTCCGTTGGCTCATCCAAGATCCTAGATTGTAATTGGAGGCAATATCTTTCTTCCATCAGCATTCCGGTACTTCGTGCGAGTACGTGGTCGAGAGGGTAGCCGGGTACCTCTTCCCTTTTTCGCAGAGAAATGACAGAAAAAGAGCTGCTATCTATGTACATAGCTGTATGTAGAGAGAGATATTTGCTGGAAGCGCCAAGGCTGCATTTCATGACTCCATCCACCTATCAACAAAAGTCTTCAACAAGGCTGTTCTTTCCCTTCTTCCTATACCCAATCTTCTCCGCTGCGGCCTCGCTCCTTCAGAGCCGGAACTTGGAGAGTACGTGACCACGACTTTTGAAATCGCCCTTCTGTGCTTTCATCCGTTCTGAACATCCCTCGATTGCCTGTACCCCGCAGCTAGATTTCCCTCACCCACATCTCATACCATCACCAAAAGAGATAACACGGACAAAATAGCTTCAACACTTATGGTCGGGATAGAGATCAGTGGCAAATACAAGAAGCAATGGTAACAGCTAGCACTAGTCCGCGTTCAACGTCGAAAGGCTAAGAGAGAAGACCACTCTCTTCCACAAACGCCCGACTTGATTTGCTAAGGCTATCACGGTCTGATATCGCACCCTTTTCCATCTCTCTATCAGAACAACGTTCATATTCTTGGAAATCTGTCGCAAGGGGGAGAAGAAATGGCACCCTCAGCATCCGAAACGCTTTCTCCTTCCGCCTTCTTCACCACCCTTCTTCACCTGGTCAACCTCGAGCAAGATTCCGAGGTCGCCGAGACCTCCCTCCTGCTCTCATCCACGTCGCCCACGACTCTTTCCCGAGCCGGGCTCGCGATCCTCAACCTCTCAGTCCACTCTCTGAAGACCGGGCTCGGGGGACGCAGTGTGGTGGAGCTCGGTCTCGATCCCGCGGTCATCAGCAAGGACTCCAGAGGTGAGTTGCCAGAGCACGGGATCCGGACGGGGGATATCGTGCGCGTTGGAGAGACCCCGAAAGGCACGGCGAGGAAGAAGGAAGCCGCTGAGCTCAAGGGAAAGGGCGTTGAGGGCGTGGTGGTCCGGGTTGGGCAGAGGGCTGTGTGGGTTGCCCTGGGCAAGGAGGGTGGAGGGAGCGACAATGTTGAAGAGGTCCCGGACGGAAAACTGTGGCTGTACGTTTTTTCACTGTTGCCTGAATTCTGGGAGGGTTGCTACAGACTCACACTGACCAAGGAACTGATTATTCGTTGTACAGGGTTAAACTGGCAAACGATGTCACTTACAGGAGGTACGTTCTGCTCCATGTGGCTCTCGAAAACCAGGCTCGGCTGACCGTAGTGTCTGAAGAATGAACCAGACCCTTACTAGGCTACTCAAAGCGCCCGAGTCGTCGTACACAACGCTGCAGCGTGTGCTCCTAGGGCTTTCTTCTCCAGGCACAGCTGACTCGTCTCATTCGGACAAAGTCGATTTCTTCGACTCGACATTGAACCCATCCCAACAAGATGCCGTCCGTTTCGCCCTCTGCGCACCGGAGATAGCTCTCATTCACGGTCCTCCTGGAACAGGGAAGACATACACACTGATCGAACTCATCCTGCAGCTTCTCAAGCGTAATCAACGTGTGTTGGTGTGCGGACCCAGTAACATCAGTGTGGACAACATTGTCGAACGTCTTTCCTTGACCTCCCCAAGTACACCAATCGTCCGCCTAGGTCATCCGGCTCGCCTCTTGCCAAGTGTTTTGAACCACTCGCTTGAGGTGTTGACGCGGACGAGCGAAGCTGCGGGGATTGTAAGCGATGTGCGCAAGGAAATGGATACAAAGCAAGCTTCTATTCGGAAGACTCGCAACGCACGCGAACGGCGCGCAATCTACGCCGACTTGAAAGACTTGAGGAAAGAGTATCGGGAGAGAGAAGGGAAGTGTATAGATGGACTTGTGACGAGCAGCAAAGTCGTGCTGTCGACACTGCACGGTGCTGGAAGCCACCAAATCCGCAATCAAGCCTTCGACGTCGTGGTGATTGACGAAGCCAGCCAGGCTCTCGAGCCACAATGCTGGATCCCGCTGGTCTTCGGAGGAGCAAACGTGAGAAAGCTGATCTTAGCGGGCGATCATCTACAGTTGCCGCCAACGGTCAAGAGCGCAGATAACAACAAAGACAACAAGGACGAGAAGAGAGCAAGGATCAAAACTCTGGAGGAAGAACTGGCAAAGTTGTCTGTCAAGGATCAAGAACTAAAGGCAGCGAAAAGTTGGTCCTTGGAAACAACAATGTTTGACCGACTCTTGGCCAGACATGGATCTGGGATCAAGAGGCTGCTCAATACGCAGTACCGAATGCACGAAAAGATAATGCGGTTTCCCAGCGATGAGTTATATGAGGGAAAGCTTGTCGCCGCCGATGCTGTCAAGTCCCGACTGCTGAGAGATCTGCCGTACGAAGTACAAGAGACCGAAGATACAATCGAACCACTTGTATTTTTCGACACTCAAGGAGGTGACTTTCCGGAGAAGGCTGAAGACGACGCGAGTGGCCAGGTTAAAAAATCGACCCTGCTGGGAGACAGTAAGTGCAATGAAATGGAAGCGGCTGTGGCTGCCATGCATGTAAAGAATCTGGTCGAGGCTGGGGTTAGGGACGAAGACATAGCGGTCGTCACACCCTACAACGCTCAGCTCGCTCTTCTGAGCTCATTGCTCAAGGAGAAGTTCCCAAACCTCGAATTGGGTAGTGTGGACGGTTTTCAAGGCCGAGAGAAGGAAGCCATCATTGTCAGTCTGGTCAGAAGCAACGCTGAAAAGGAAGTGGGCTTCCTGGGAGAGAAAAGGAGGTTGAACGGTAAGTCCAATTTCCCCATGCTATCGTCGTCTGTGTTTTTGTGCGCTTTTGCGTGTATTTTCTGGGAGCCTATGATTGTTGGACCTCTGGACTTGCGCAGACACGAGCACCCTGCAGCCTGGATCGAGTCTTCTGTGTGCAGCGTATCTAACAATGGCGGTCTTTAGTTGCAATGACCCGACCGAAACGCCATTTGTGCGTGATTGGCGATTCAGAGACCGTTTCTCGAGGTAGTCCCTTTTTGAAGAAGTGGATGAAATTCTTGGAGGACCATGCCGACCTGAGATATGCAAACATCGAGGATTTGGAACTCGGGTAGTTTGTGTCGTTACACAACGTCCTGCAATTCAAGAATCTGCACAATCGGGCTCATGCCCTGAATCATTGGAACCCAATGTCGGCAAAGCTGGCAAAAGAACTTGGTTAGTGGTGGGAGGCACATCTCGTATTGGTTTGCTTTCAGGTACATTTGAAACGCATACGAAAGAGCCCGGTAGCCAGTTTCATGTCAAAGGGACAGGTCTGACGTGGAATGTCCTCAGCAAATAAAGCAGGATTTGAACAGCAATTGGTTGATGATAGCCCAGAGTGCTCCGTCACAACTGCACTTCCGATTTGACCACGCAATCGACTCGAGATTCGTCAATTACGGCCCTACCACGGGTTCGCATTATTGGGCGCCTTGAGAGGTCAATCGCACGCTGTATCTGCGCGAACGGGAACAGAGCCGGTGTCATGATGGTTGTGTCCACGGGCCCCGTTGTTGCGACAGGATCAATCAGGCGTCCACCACGAACTGCACTGTAAAATCCTCACAGAACACGTCATGGGGCCGAAAATATGCCATGCCACCCATGTATATGGTGGGGACATCTGTTCTCAGCGGCGAACGAGTCGAGCCTCGATTGCGCAAGGAAGCCGAGAGAGAAAAGAAAGGGTTTGTGGTTTCTGTTCGGCGAAAAAGGAAGCATTGCCCAACGACGAGTAAGAGTAGCCAGACCAAAGGGCCAAGATAAGGGTTCGTTGCGTGAATGTAAAAGAGAACAAGGTTAGGCCAATCAAGCTCGATTTCACGCTTCTCGAGAGCAGACGCCTTTCATAATGGGTCAGCAAAGTACCGAGTACTCTTACGAGTATCATGAGTTCAAGGATTCCCTGCCATATCAGTGCTGAGTAGCAACGAGCGGGGGCCTCCAAACACGACACTCGTGGCGAAGCGGACACGCCGCTGTTTTTCCTGTTTTTGCACAGCAAACCTTGGGCAGCCTTACCACATCCTGAGCGTTCACCGGTGCACGTTGTGATATCTCCGATGATGGTGTTATTTAGGCTTATGACTGTTGGACGGTTTCTGGCGTAACTTCCGGTGTGCTTCCGAGAGAGAGAGACATGTTTCTGTCCCAGACTACCCTTCAAGTTCGCTTGTACGATTTCGAAACCGCGACGTGAGCGGCTTCGTCTGCGTGAGCTCAGTCGCAAACGGGTATTTCCGCGCTAAAAATGACTTGCATCGCTGCATGGCGCAGGGGTAGTCATGTTGAATCCAATGGACTGAGCAGAATAGGAAGGGGTGGGCTGGCCAGCTTAGAGGAGGGTCGACATGTGGTCATGCTGGACGGGGTATAGTTGGCGCGGATAGCGTCCGACCAGGTGGTCGCACTTGTTCTTCGACCGTCCTCCTTGGATGAGCCGTCTCTTTCAGCTTTCCGGAGACCCCGTGGTATTTTTTTTTGAAGAGGGAAGCGGGATCAGCGCGTAGACGAGAGGGAGGATTGTGCGGTGAGATGGCACACGGATGGTTACGAGGTGCCACAACACCTGCGGGAGCGCACGAACTGGTGCTGACCAGTCACGGGGGAGAACGAGGCAATACCAGCTGCGGTCAACCGGCACGTCAGGATGTCGATAGTTCGTTAGTGGGATGAACAAGATGGTGGAGGTGGATCGAGGGAGCGCGGACGGATCATGGTTGGTTGGGGGCTGGCAGATGACTTTTCTTTGGCTGGAGACGATGAACGTAAATTGTTTCTCGCTGATGTGGTGCCTGTGTTCGATGTCTTTGATCCTTCATGGGCACGGCGAGGAAAATCCCTAGTGAGCTGAACCCCTACTTAGAGGTAGGTAGCTGGCGTCGCAGTTTGGAGTCTAGTTGCTTGGATGTGCTGAGAAGGGGCATTCCTAGAGAATACCTCCCTCGTACTCGCGCGAGCTAGTGAGGCCTAGTGATGCCTAGGGAGCCCCTCCAAGGCTAACGAATGAATGACTGGGGCGCGTCGGCCACTCTCTATCACTACTGGTCAGTAGCCTGCCAGCCTTGACGCCCGCATTTCCTCTTTCTTGTCTTTCTGGTTCTCCTGGCTCACTCTGCTTCACACCCACCGCCATCCTTGTCATGACTTGTCTCCATCAGGGACCTTGCCCCTCCATTATTGCGCCGCGCCGACTCGATCTCCTGCGTCCAAGTCATCATCCGCTGTCTAATTCCGCCGCTGTTGAAACGGGAACAAAAAGAGGATGGATGTTGTGAGCACACCGGAGCAAGTGGGACACGGCCAGCTGTCACTCTAGGCCACGCCAGAGATTGTCATACTTTCTTCTTTTGAGTTGGCGTCGTGTCTCTTTCACCCTTCAGAGTAGCCTCGAGGCTTGAAGCTCGAAGCTTGCCAGAGCAATGCGGGTCGAAGCGATGCCGAAACCAACACCAACTCTGTGATCTACAAGGATACGACTACTACACACCAAGACACTGCTGTCTTTGCCGTGCTTGCAGCTCTGTCTTCGTCTCTTCAAAGCCGCTTCGGCCCTTATTTACCATCGTGCAATTCTGCAATTCTGCAATTCTGCGACCCTGCGACTCTACTCCTCCTGTTTCGCCCCATTGTCCGTCTCGAGTCTGCCTTACCTTCGGTTTCCGTGCACCGTTTCTGTCTTCCAACTCCCTGGTCACTCCTTCATAAAGTCATCATTGGCCCTGCAGTTGTTCAGGCCCACTGTTCCTTCTCACCACTGCCTCCGACTGGTGTTGCCGCCTTATCTAGATATACTTTTGGCTCTAATCTTAATCTTCCAGAAAAACCTATGGTAGACTTCCAGATTTCCGGAGATCTAAGCAAGGGCAGTTGTCGCGGCTGACATCTCAGTGACAGATGCAATTGTGCCACTTCTGTGACCGTCAGGGATAGCACTCATCGATACGAGCTTCCCAATGTCTGTTGACAGTCTGTGAAGCGGGTACATTTCAAGCCACAGCGCATCAGCATGATGCCACACCTTCAGGTGTCATTCGTCCAGTCCTGATGTTGCGCAATTGGTGATTTCTGGGAGGTAGTATTCGCTCAGGCCTCGCAATCTCGCGATATGCCCTCTCCCAACCACAAAGCCAAGGGATCAGGGTCTTTGTCCCTGGCCAGCACGGGCGCTGCTTTGCGCCGTGGCGAATTGAAGATATCAGATCCCATTCCCTTCGATGAGTCTGGGGTCTTCAGCAACACTAGCACCGTGCCACCCGCCAGACATCTGTCGGTACAGCGACATAACGACACCACATGGCCACGGGCAAGTACGGCGACGCAGGATACCCATGTGCGACATGTCAGTGACCTTCCGCCACACACACGCTCTCGTACTTCCGCTGGGCCATCACTGAATCAGAGCTCAATGTCTTCCATTCCTTCCAAGGCATCATTGAACCAGAAGAAGCCCAATGGATTGCGCGCAACGCTCAGGCGCATGTTCTCAAGCAAGAAACACAGATCCGTACCCACTGATACAAGTGGCTTTCACTACAATGATACGGGACATCTCAAACCAGTCACAGAGCAGCCGATTCGGACACGACTGGAATCGGCTCCCCAATTGGGATCAGACACAAACTTGCGAGGAGCCGCGCTAACTTCACATTCCAATCCATATCCTCAGGTTGAAGCTGTTCACCAGAGCTTACCCCCTCCTCCGCGGCGCGGGCGTCGCAACACTCTACCCAGTCTCGTCTTCAGCGACATACAGTCAATTCTCGTGCCTGCGGTTGTTGACTGGCCAGAACCGCAACCGTCCTCAGTGGAACAGAGGTCAAAGGAAGATGGTGTCTCGGATCGTCAGTTCAAGCGGCGATCGAGGAGCGCAGACGCCCTCAGCGAACTTGTTCACCAAGGCAGCGATAAACGCCCTTCCACTCGTGACCGAGCAGGTGAAATTGCTTACTGGCGCAATAGCGCCATCCAAAACCCTGTTCCTGTGTACAGTGGCCAATCGATCTCGGTAGATCCCACACACGTCTTGGGATCAGACAACCCGATGGCGGAATCGGAGCGTGGTCGTTCCACCGTCGAGCCTATGCAGACTTTTGACTTTGGCCTTGGAAGTCCAGAGCGGGATGAGATCGGACTGGAGCAGAGAGTCAACACTCTAGAGATCAAGCTCTACGACTTTGAATTTGCGTTGGCCAAGCTCCAAGGCAACGACTTGCCAAATCCGAGGTTAAACCAGAAACCATTCGGTCAAGGCACGATGCCGGACACGTTCTTTCACAATACGACGAACTTGACCTTGACAAGCGGATCGTCGAATGATTTGAGCTATCTTTCTTCTGGCGAAGCTCGGGATTTTACATTCTTGTCTTCTCCTGGCGAGTCACCGGCCCCTTCTCCAGAAGTCGATGATGTGTTCAATCCTCAAAGAGCGAGCAGAGCCACAACTGCCACGATCAGACCCGCGACCGCGAGACGGAGGTCGCCCAGACGTTCAAGAGGGAATTCGCCGTCGTCGATTCATATTCCTCCTGAAAAGTTTGAGGCTTTGCTGGAAATGATGAAAGAGGAAAAGGCGGCTCGACAAAAACTGGAAGAGCAGGTATCCGAACTCCAGAAGGAAATGGACAGCATGAGGACTCCGGTCTACGCGACGATCAGAGAACCATACCCAACACCTAGTCCCGACTCAAAGCAGAACTTGTCTGGCACGCCAACTCGAATGAAAACACTGCATCGAACCCATCCATTTCAATTAGACCATTTGCCCAAGGAAATATCTCGTTTTAGTGGGACAGAAGATTCAGATGCGGAAGAAGGATTCGAGGACGTCTACGAAACCCCTCGGGAGCAACAACGTGATACATTTGAGACGGCAAGGGATTCACAGCAAGTGGCAGTTATATGAGCCGCAACTGATGTTTGCGTTGCATTCATTGAGATTTCATACATCAATTCGCTTCTTGTTTGACTTTCTCGGTACCATATTCATCGGACCTTTGCCATTGGAAGGCGAAACACGACCCTTCCAACCTTGTTTTGACGGAGGCATTCAGCTGAGGGAGCTTTACATTGAGGATGCTGTTTGCATGAGATACCCCATACAGGTGTGATGGAGCTCCTAAGAGTGGAGCAAGGCAACAGTGTTTATGTACGAATACATACGGCCTAAAGAGTGGCGAACTGTTCGAGTATAGCAGGAGTAACTTCAGTAACTTGAGACAATTCGCGAGCTCTGTGAGTGAACCAACCTGGAAGGGCACCAGAGGTGCCAATATCAGCCAGCCATGCGTTTAGACCTGCAAGGCTACAAGGCTGAGGTTTAAGCCCGCCAAGCGAAATGCCCATGCTCAAAGGTCCAAAGTTGCAGACATTGACGGTAGCAAAGTATCGATCCGTTTGGAACTACGGGTTAGATACAATGCCTTGAAACTTTCTCTGGCTGTTTTGTTCTTCTCGCATTTACTCGTTAACGACACTTCCTCGACATTCTTTCATAGGGATCTAGCAAATATGTCGACTTCTCTAACCCATCTCCTGCCTCCTACGCCCGCGCAACCGTCGAGCAAAGCCCGCCTGCTCACGCCAACCACCTATCCTATTCCTCTGCTCTCTTCCTCGCTCGCAAAACGCTACTCCTACGTCCACACCGTACTCGTCCCGCTGTACTACTATCTCCGCGCGTCGTCCCTTGTTGCAGACCCGTTCAACACTTTGCTGAGCGACCTGGGCGTCGTCGCGGCGTTGCAGTGTCTGTTTTGTGCCGTCTGCTTGCCAGCTGCTGGGTCCTGGGTGTCCGATACACCAGATGGCGCCGCTGTGGAAGGCACGGCAAGTCCGGCGCAGAAAAGCCCAAAGAGTGCCAAAGTGTCTGGAGGTGTGGGAGGTGGAAGTTTGAGGAAGAAGAACCTTGGGGGGGCAGGCATTGGCAAGAGCCACGGTCATGGTGCTGGCAAGGGAGGCTCAGGAGGAGCAGCTGGTGAAGGGAGCTGGGGTGCAAGGATCATGGTGAGTTTGCTTTTCCATATGTTACAATTACAATGGGTGCTCTCTGCCGCGTTGTGGTCCAGTCCATACTCATGCTGTTTCATTTCCACCCTCTCCGACTTAGCAAGGCTCTTCGAGATTGGACTACTGACTGACAACTGATACAGCCTACGCTCTTCTCCCTGATCCTCACGTTCACTCTACCGCCTCTCCCGCTCAGCTTAATCGCGCTCGTCCTGGGCGCGCCTTTGTACCCTACCTCTCTCCTCCCCCTGACTCTCCTCCTCTCTGTCCATGTCTCCCTACTCGGCTTTCTGCCGTTATTCTACACCCACGGCGTCTCCTCCCTCGCATGGCGCGACGTTGCGGCCGCGTGGCTCCCGTTCGACTCAGCAGGCGTATGGGGCGCAACAGTGGGAAGCTTTGTAGGAGGATGGGTGGGTGCCATTCCAATGGCGCTGGATTGGGATCGCGAGTGGCAGAAATGGCCTTGTACGGTTATCTGGGGGGTAGTGATGGGGTGCACGGTTGGCCGGGCTATAACGAATGGCTTTGGATGGGGCAAGGGAAAGAGGATCAATTTGAGCGAGAAAGAGGAACCCGAACCGGCTTTTGAAAGAAATATCCAAGTGGGAGGCGGGAAGCGAGTGGTGACAGACAAGAGCGAGTGAGCGGGTAGGTCGAAACAACCTGCAGACACAGCTACTCGAAGTTGGAGACTCGAAGTGATCCAGAATGTGGGAGATCAGAAATCGGACACTCAAGACTTTGAAGCGAGGGCGAGAGTATGTGTATGTCTCCAGAGACGAGCAGTGCGGTTTTGCCCTCCCAAAGATGCCAGTCTTTCTGATCACGGAGCACTTTTTGACGGGGGTGACCAGCACCACAGCCGCACTCATATACCACCGTTCATCTTTCGTTACAGCACAGCGAAGATGGCTTGGGGTGTGCCGACAAGTTTTAATCGCGAACAAATGGAGGCTGTCAAGATCTGTCGAGAGAAAGGCCGGTATATGGACGGACAGCATGCACTGTACCCTTATTTGGATCCAAGCCCGGAGATTCGATCTTGACCGACCTGAAGGACCATGGAAGAAAAAAGTAGGAGAGGGCGCGATAAGATACCTGAGGCATACGGATATGTGGCATATGGGCGAGACTGACAAGCGAGCGATATGGGCGCTGAACGCTCTCATGCCACGCCGACCGGCATTGATGCCAGCGTAACCAGGTTCGTCGGGTTTGAGCGTGGACACCCGACCAGGACAACAGGATGGGAGAAGACGCAAGCACTGTTTCAATAATGTGCCACAGATTCACTAGGATGCGATGTGCTAGGGCGGCTTGACAAGGTCAGTCAGAGACACTGTACGAGGTAAAGGGGTGGCAAGTCAGAGCTACTCATAGAGAGCTACGGTAACTCTTTCCAGCTGTCTGTCTATACAACGGGTACCATGGAGATGGAGAGGCGATGTGGGCATTGGACAGAAGGAGGATCAACATCAGCATCCAAATCAGAGGACCCTCCTCGAAGAGCTTGAGTGACAGGGACCTGTGAGAACAACCTTTACCAAATGTTACTTTGTGGTTTTTCCCCTTTTCTGGTGAGAAAGGCTGTTTTGGTCAATTGATTAGGACGGGTAGTGCAGGTAGATAGATACTGTACGTCAATACCTACCGAGAAGTGTAAAAGGTATTTTAGGTCCTATGCACACCTCCAAAATGGGACAGATGTACAAAATGGGAACAACCGGCGAAAAGCGTGTTGAAGGTTTCTTTCTAGCCTGCCTGCATGCAATAACAAGAATAAGAACAACAGGCGAGCAAGATCGTCCACTCCATTCCATTTTGAGTCTTTGTGGCTTGCGAAGAAGGGAGGGAGTCGGAAAGAAAGAGGGGTTGAGGTGGTGGAGAGGAGGGGACTGCCTGACTTGTGCTGTGAGATACAGTTTTCTGTTCCCTGCCCTTGCCTGCCTTGCCTGCATGCTGAGGCGAGAATACCGAGGACATAGCGTGGCGCACGGCTGGCTCGCTCGCTGGGGAGATGGACAGGGCAGGGTTTCCAGGGACGGTGGCAGGGTAGTAGGGTAGCAGGGTAGCAGGGTCTTCTGCAGGGACACTACACACATCTTGATGTTGATTTTAGTGTGGGTTTTGGTGTTGGTATACACTCAATCTATCTCACAACAAACTCTGACTCGTTTACAATGGATCTCAGAGGCAAGCACGCAAGGGATGCGAGAGAACAGGGTCAGGGTCAGGGTCAGGAGCGAGGGTCAAAGAGTTTCACAAGTACACGAGGTTCAGAGGGTCAAGGGAAAAAACTTAGATAGGTGATCACCTTGATCAACACATCAATATTGACAGAGAGATTTGTCGGGTTATGTGATCAACAAAGGGTCAAATTAACCCATCCTGGCCCAGACAAAATCAGTCAAGACAAGACACAACGCATAACCAGCGCTTGCAAAGTAAACGCTCCTCGGGTATGTATGTACAAATGTACGTAGACAAGCACAAGTATTAATTGTAAAATGTCGTTGCTTTTCGGGACATGCACAAGGGTCGTCAGAGTTGTCGTACTAAATACTCGGCACACACACCAGTTCTATCTACCACACTACACCACACCCATCGCCTCCCAAGTCCCAAGTCCAAGTCCTCGTATAAAAAGCCGGGACATGCCTACCGAGTTACCTACTAGGTAGAGGTAGCTCAAAGTGGGTTCTTTTGATAGAGTTTATTTCATTGATCAAGCTTTCAAAGATATCTTGCATTTTGAATTTTGAATTTTGGCATTCTGCATTCTGCATTCTGCATTGCCTTTGGGATAGGATTGGGTTGGGCTGGGCGCTTGTTCCCCACGACGAAACTCTCATAACCATTGTGGCATTCTATCCAAGAAGAGATAGATCATCGGATAAGGGTCAAGATTTGTCTATCTTGTTTCTGTCTGGTTCGGTCCCTCCCCCAGAGTTTCGGTTGACCTGGTCCCTTTATGCGGGCCGTATCGCGCCTCATTCATCATCATCAATCATCATCGCTGTCGCCGCCCAGCTACCACTTTTGACTTCCTCTCTCTCCCCGCCTTCCGAACAGATGAACAAACCCATTGGCTCCAGTCCAACGAATACTGCTTGGTTGCGCATTGCTTTCATTCTTCTCGTCTCAACGCCAGGCGATCTCTGACTAAAGTAGGATTGTAGTGTTACATGTGAACATGGATTGTGCTCAGCTCCCCTTTCTCTCCAAGAAAATATGCCTGCCCTGTTGCTCCCTGGGAGGTCAAGTTTTGAAAATATCTCCCAAACACCATCGCTATGCAAGATCTCGCGCCGCACCACATAAATAGAAAAAACACAGCATTGCCGTAAATGAGAGTATGGTTTTGTAAAGCCTGTGAGGCGTAGATGGTATCAGTCGTAGGCATGTCAGCTTGATCATCAGCATCTGGATTGATATTACATCTCTTCTGTACTTCAGTCGAGACGTTGTCGCTTGCAATTCCTGCCTGTTTTCATCGCGTCAACAAGGGCAACAGCCTCCTAAGCTGCCTGTTGAATAGGTGTCCTTCCAATCCGGTAGTTGCTCGTCGCGGAACTGAAAAATCTCGCCATCACACCGCCCACGCCAGTCTCTGACTTGACCTTTTTGGCTGGTGGTTGACTTTCGCCCTGGAAGCTCGTTTGGTGACCTTTGAGGCTGGGTCGAACGTTCTTGCTATAGGTACTGTGGTATGAGGTATCGGGGCTTTGGGTCAAGTCAACCACCACGATACTGTCGTCAATGTTTGATGACGCAGTGTAGGGGGTTCCTCGAGATGTAGGCGCGAGAGACGAAGATCGAGACCGTGATGAAGGAGCCAGGGAAGAAGATCGAGAACTGCTGTGGCTGTGCATCGTACCAGGTCTACTAGATGGA